ACACAAGAGTCTCAACGTACTTAAGCTAATTAATAAAGATGTAAAATTTATAGAAACAAGCTAAATTAATCTAGACATGATTAGTGGGATATGGGTTGGAATTAAATATATGTTTAAGTCGAACGGGGACGCTGGATTCGTGGTGAATAAACACGGCCGGCTCTCGGGTTTGCATGCACCTAGCGATCGTGTCGACTGATCGACGACGACAACACGATGCGATGAATAAAACTGAGACAAGAAGGTCATGTCGCCATGTATAGGCAAAAGAATCACAGCTCCTCTAATGCAATCGATTGCAAATCTCCGAGCGTACCTTGCCGTGGAGAAGACAAGATCTTCGGAGGACGACGATAACAATGCGCGACAACGACACCATTGCAGCCGATAGGTCAAGCTCCTTCCTGCGCGTGGCGAATTGATCGAAGTGGGCAGGACCACGCACGACACCACGAGCGCATCATGTACGGGTAGGACGATGGAGGAAGACAATAATTCAAGATCATCATATCGATCCAGGACGACGACGATAGTGATGCGCATAGATAGGTCGAGCTGCCCCTTCCGGCGTGGCGAATTAAAGTGGCGACTGGCAACGATGGTGCTGGGGATCGGTATCCTGGCCCAGAGTGGTGACAGCTTTTAATTTCCTGGGTAGTTTCTCTTTCTCCGTGGCAGCTGGTACGAGAGGGCATATACGATCGTCGGTAAGGACTGAGGGGGTGTTTGGTTGCCCTCTAAATTTTAATCTATCCCATCGAATGTTTGGACATATACATAGAGTATTAAATATAGACTAATTACAAAACTAATTGCATAGTTTACGACTAATTTATGAAACGAATCTTTTAAGTCTAATTAGGCCATGATTTGACAATGTTTTGCTACAGTAAACATATGCTAATGACGGATTAATTAGGCTTAAAAATTCATCTCGTGGAGTACCGACGGATTATGTAATTTGTTTTTTTATTAGTATCCGAATACCCCATGCAACATCCTTCCGACATACCTCCTAAATTTTAGTCACCGGATCCAAACACCCCCTGAGTCTCTCTTTGACATTATAAATTTACTTATAATAAAAAGATATATATGTGCGATAGTAAGTGAGGAAAAAAAAGACTTTTGCTATTTATCCGTTGATATATTTTTTTGACACTAAATCTGTCGGATTTCTATACGTTTGATTGTGCTTTAGAATTCATGCTACAACTGTCTATCGGATCGCATTTATAAAAAAATCTATCGATAAATAACTAGACACTCCAAAAAAAGATACAAGCCTCTTATTTTCGGACAAAAGAAAAAGAGAACGGGATTGCTAGCGTCCGGACGTCTAGATGGATGCCTACGCCGACGCCTGCACCCCGTTTCCCGCATCTGCACCTGTTTTCCATGCATGCTACGTTTCGCGTGGCCATGCGGGGGCCTACGCCGCCCGACCGAACGAGGGGACCGCTCGCGCCCCCTCCGCTTCCCACACGCATGCGCGCGGGACTGTCTGCGCCTGCTCAGTGGCGCCCCAGCAACTGCAACAGGTCGGTACTGTTGCAACATGTGCAACACCAACATCTACTTTTGCAACGTCCAGATAAAACACCTGTAACATACGTCCGAAACAGGTGAAACACTTGCAACATATGTCTGAAGCACTTGAGAAACAGCTGAAAACTCTTGAAAGCCATCACGAACATATGCAACATCAAGATAAAATACTTGCAACATATATGCGAAACATATGCAACATCCAGATAAAACGTTTGCAACATACGACTGAAAACAGATGAAACATTTGGAATAGACGCTTGCAACATACATGTATAGCCATGGTAACATATGCAACATCCGGATCTACTTTTGCAACATCCATATGAAACACTTACAACATACCTCTGAAACACTTAATAAACACATACACTTGCAATAAGCGACATATCCCGGTGCGGCCTCCACCACCGTCTGCAGCGGGGCGCCGCAGCCATAGCAGGAGGCGAGTCTTGAGGGTTTCCACGCTAGGGCCTGGCGCCTCTCTTTGCACCGTCGGTGCCTGTCAGCGCCATCGGCCGCGAGCACACACACGGTGGCCTCAGTGGCCAGCTGGCGGCCGAGCACGCACATGGATTCCTGGAGTTGGCCAAAATTATCTTCGATGCCACTAATTACACAAGAAAATAACGATCCGTTCATGTTTCTTTTTTTTCGTCATCGCGCTCACCCCGTCCCTGCACGCTCAAGGTATGCTCGCCCAGCCGACCATGGCCAACGCCGGCCGCACCAGCCAAGCCACCGGCCATGCTGGCCATGGCGACCCTAAGCCTCGCCCCGTCTCACGCTCGAGCACTGCCAGGCCGCCATCTCCAACCAACCTCACCCACTGCTCACCGAGTCGGTTGGAACTTGGAAACCTTGTTAAAACATCTACAACTTGAATATGGTATGATACATTTTGACCTACTATAAAGTAGTAGGACAAATCCAATTTAATTCAATCCTCTCTTTAATATCTTCATTTTTTTGATATCTTGTATTGTATCCTTAAACCTTAGAAGTAGGCAAGCACATTCTGAGACCCACGACCGCAAGAGATGCACACTTTTTTCCTTATTTTTTTGAAGTTTGAGATGCACACATTTGAAACCAAGGTCCAAGGAACCGAGGGGCCGTCGTGATCCATATGCTCCGCGGCCGCTTGGTACAAGTGACCATGGGCCATGAATTTGACCTGTAACTGTAAGATGGCGAGGAGGGACAGAGGACCACGAGTCCATCATGTACGACCTACCTCCCGGGCCAAAAACCGGTGGCAGCATTTATAGGCCGTTTCTCGATGCAGCTGGTACGTGACCATTTAGGCATAGGGGTGGTACAAAGCAGAAGCAGGGCCGTCGTGATCCATGTGCTCCGCGGCCGCTGGTACAAGCGGCCATGTGTTTTGCTCAATAAAAAAAAAACAGCCATGTGTTTCACGTGTAACTGTAGGCGCCTGTTTGGATGATGCAGTTTTTGAAAACTGTAGTACCACAAAATTATGGTTTTATAAGCCAAATAGACATAAAACCATGGTTTAGTAAAAAGAGGTCATGAGTGGAGTTTTTAAAACTCCAAAAAGACTACGGCCTTAAGAAAACCACGGTTTTAGAGACTACAAGATTTGTTACATCCAAACACCAAATAGCTTTTAAAAACCAAAATATTTATTTTGTAATACCGTAGAATTTCTCCAATACATAAAAATACTTTACATCCAAACTGATGGTACGGTGAGGACCAGACGTACGTCCCAGGCCAAAAAGCGGTGGCAACATCTATAAGCCATTTGTCGATGCAGTTGATACGAGACAGACAGACAGTTTACCCATAGCTACTATACCTCCATTCCGGCACAGCAATAGCACTCTCGTGCTGCTTCACATCGCTTTAAATCATTTTTTAGATTAAGGAATAAAAAACATTCCAGCCTTCACATTCACAAGTGGATGCTTATGGCCACCAATACAAGATAACAGGTACTTAGACCAAGTTCCGCTAGACGGACATGAAAGAACCCAAAGTTCAAACCATTTTCAACAAAGGAAGCAACAAACCAAAAAGAAGCCCTAGGAAGCTATTCTTCTATCCTCCTCTTGTTTCTCCAAGCATGGCCTCCAAAAAATTGCATCACCATCACTTCCAGCTTCTGGAATCCTTCTTTCAACAAACCTCTCGCTTCCTCTTTAGACAGCAGAGACTATTGTCTGATCCAATAAGTTCCCCTGAAGATGACCTACAAGCGCGCAGGAGTTAGTCTTTGTTCTTTGGAACACCACGTCATTTGTTCAACCACAAGACCCAACACATCACACCTATTCCCACTATAACTTGATCTCTTAGCCTAGGAGCAAAACTCCTCATCCAGGGGCCAAATAAGTGAGCTGTATTTCTTGGTGGTTGAACATTGAAAGCAATGAGTAGAGAATTCTATAAGAACTTAGCCATACGGCAATCAAAGAAAAGATGCTCTTCTAAGCCACAAAATTTGCACTTAGAGTCTCCTTTCCATCCCCTTTTCAGTAAATTATCTTTTGTTAACATCGCTTTAGATCATAGCAGGGCAAGTCTTTGTTACGGCCTAAGCACGGTAGGTGACACACTAGCACGTCTTTCATGACGTGGCGATCTAAGTACACAGCCCAGAAAATACCTTTTCTAGTTTTCTTTATTCACCCGTGACATACAAGACAAAAAAATAAAAAAATCATTTTATATGTACCGTTTTGATGAAAAATTCAATAATTTTCATAATCCACTGAAGAATTATTATTAGATAAAAGAAGGTACCCACTCCGTCCAGGAAAGAATGCAACTATGGGATTCATGCCAGTCAAACTAGTTTAAGTTTGACCAAGTTTATAGTAAATAGTGTTAATGTTTATGTCTCTAAATAAATTTATTATGAAAATATATCCTATAACGAATTTAATGATACTTATTTTGTATTATGAATGTTAGTATTTTTTTATATAAATTTAGTCAAAGCTTAAACTGTTTGACTTTTCGAAAAGCGAGAATTATATTCTTTTGTGGACGGAGGGAGTAATACAATAAATAATAAAAAATCATATTGTATATGTAGATGTGTCCACGTATCATTTTTGTATCGTACCGATCCAAGTATAGCCCAAAATACATGTTGGGTCATGGCTCCCGTTGTACCATGATCTTAGACACGACATGGCCCTCATGTTGTTCATGCCGTATGTGCGGGCACGGCTCAAAATATTTCATACCGTCATATACCATACCAAAAGACCATATACCACTATGTACCTTTTTTCTACATGTAATATAAAAAAATAACGTCGTACGTAGACAATTCACGCATGCCACACGCGCGCGTTGATCAGTCAGCCTTATCTCTCGCCGGCCCTCTCCCCTGTGTATATAAGTGAACCTTGGCCTGTTTCCTTCTCAATGCACTAAGCTAGCCAGTCGAGGGAAGAAATAAGAAGAGAGCAAACATGGCCATCAGCAGCTCCTCCGCCCAGTACAACTCATCCTCTCCATGGCACGCCGCGACGACAACGCTCCTACTGGCACTAGCCGCCGGCAGCCTCCTCCTCCTACCGGCGCTGGCGCGAGGGTCCTCCGAGGAGCATGACCAGCAGCGTGAGGACGACCTGATCCGGGGGCTGCCGGGGCTGCCCAACGACGACGTGCCGTTCGACATGTACGGGGGATACATCACCGTCGACGAGCAGGCCGGCCGCGCGCTCTACTACTGGTTCCAAGAGGCCGACCGCACCGAGGTCGAGGACCCGGACGCCGCGCCGCTCCTCCTCTGGCTCAACGGCGGGCCTGGGTGCTCCTCCATCGGCGGCGGCGCGCTCGAGGAGCTCGGCGCCTTCCGCGTCCACACAGACGGCGAGCGGCTGTTGCGCAACGAGTTCGCTTGGAACAGAGGTATGAAATTGATGATGGGTCACATACAACTCACAGACCAACCGAGATGTGCTGTGCAGTGAAGTGTAGCTCACATGTGAAAGGCATGCAGCGGCCAACGTGCTGTTCTTGGAGTCGCCGGCCGGCGTGGGGTTCTCTTACAGCAACACCAGCTCCGACCTAATCGTCGGCGACAACAGAACGGGTTGGTGATGAAGAACATATACGGGAAATAACACCCTTCTTCAGTCTGATTCTCTGATTTATGAATTTTTGTTATTTGCAGCCCATGATGCGTACACGTTCCTGGTGAAATGGTTCGAGAGGTTCCCAAAGTACCGGTACCGCGATTTCTACATTGCTGGAGAGAGCTATGGAGGTCAGTACGTACTCCCTCCGTTCAAAATTATAGTTCGTTTGACTTTTTTACTTTAAGTTTTGACCGTTCGTCTTATTTAAAAAATTTGTACAAACATAGTCAAATTTGAGTTATTCTTGAAGAACTTTTATTAATAAAGCAAGCCACACCAAAAAAAGTGATATTTAATGCAAATTTTTGAATAAGACGAGTGATCAAACTTGGTGTAAAAAAAGTCAAACGAACTATAATTTAGAACGGATTTAATAGTATTTTTGTTAATGTAGTACGATCCTTGTTTTGACGAGGGAGATTTTTTTTTGTTCGGAATTTAATTAATTTCTATATAGGCACAGTGTTATATATGCATTAATTCGTGAAGTATTTTGATGTGCAGGTCACTATGTTCCTCAGCTCTCCCAGCTCGTGTACAGGAACAACATCGGCGTACAGAGGCCTTCCATTAGCTTCAAGGGTTTCATGGTACGGTATAGATGCGCATTCTCAGACATTGAATTCACACAGTGCGTTTCATATATCAGAATTTGAACCGAATGGACAAATACACCTGCACATCATGTATAAATTAATAAAAATAAAAAAATGCACATCTTAGTATCTTACTATCAGTAATTATGTTGACAGAGCCTTCACGAATGGATTTATTATGTTTTAGAAACTTTACCCAACTATGCCATTATCAAAAGAATCAATAGGCCTTCGGTGGAGACTTCACGTTATTCAGATGAAGGTCTGTTTATCTTTTCGATAATGCTGGGCGTCCGTCCAGGCAAGTTCCGTCTGGACGGCTTGTTCCCGGACCTGCCTAATAATCGGGCCCAACACGCCTACACCGCTCCACATTCAGTAAGACACGGTTTCTCCAAAAAATAAAAAACACAATGACATTTTCTTTCCCCACTACCGCACGCATGTGACCACTGCGGGCGCATCCACCGCGCCGCCCGCACACCGCTGTCCTTCTACAACGCAGCGGCCATATCCAGCTGCGGCCTTCCCGTCAGGATGACGCGCGCCCACTCCGCCTCGCTGCTGCCGCGTGCCCATCCTGCGCCATTCACTCCCGCCCGTTGTGCGCACTGCCCGCCCGGCCGAGCCAAGCCCGGTGCTGCTAGCGATGGTACGGTGGTGATTGTGGTGCTCGCGCGGCACCAGCTCCGACCCCGACAGCTGGAATCGCCCGGCCCTAGGCTCCACCATGTTGCAAGCGTATGTTTTAAGTGTTTTAGATGTTTCATAGGTATGTTTCAAGTGGTTCATGTGGATGTTGCAAAAGTAGATCAGGATGTTGCATATGTTGCAATGATTGTACACGTATGTTGCAAGTGTTTGTTCTCAATGTTTCATTGATTTTTTTAGACGTATGTTGCAAGTGTGTGTTTATCTAGATGTTGCATCTATTTCACACATATGTTGCAAGTATTTTATCTGGATGTTGTATATGTTTGCAATTGTTTTTCAGGTGTTTTCATGCGTTTTTACTTGTGTTTCAGACGCATGTTTTGAATGTTTCAACTATTTCGTATGTATGTTAGAATTGTTTCATTTGAATGTTTCAAAAGTCGATCGGTAGTGTTGTGCATGTTGCAACGTGAGCCACCAGCCGTAGCCGCCTGTTGCAGTTGTTGGGGCGCCGTGCATGGAGGGGAGAGGTGCAGTAGGCATGGAGGGGCGCGGGAAGCAGGGGGGAGTGGTGTGGGTGGGTCCTGCCTATGCGTGCAGCAGGCGCTGGTGCGGGCGTTGCAGCAGGCATGGTCCGTCGGACGTCTGGACGCTAGTGCTTCCGTTATCTTTTTTCATAATTAACCTACCAACTAATCAAATCTGGTGATGTGTCACAATATTAAATAAAGATAGAACCCCATACTGGCCTAAGAAAAACTCAATATCTTTTACCAGTGGAGGAGGTTAGTGCAATAATTAGATAATAATTAATTATTTTAATTATTCCAGGTGGGAAACGGTCTGACCAACGACCGCACTGACATGATCGGCATGTTTGAGTTCTGGTGGCACCACGGTCTCATCTCCGACGAGACCCTGGACAGCGGCCTCAAGATTTGCCCGGGGAGCTCCTTCATCCACATCGAGCCGGAGTGCCAGAAGATCTGGGACAAGGCCGCCGAGGAGCAAGGCAACATCGACGGCTATAGCATCTACACGCCGCCGTGCGACAAGGGGACCCCGTACGCGCGCAGACTCAGGAGGAGCCGCCGCGTAAGTTCCCGTTCATCTTCATCTCCGGCCATTAGTCAACCTAATAACCTGACGACAACGGTCCATCTTAACGGGCCGGTTATTCAATTCAGCCATTGATGCTGCCGGCATACGATCCATGCACCGCCTTCTACTCGACCAAGTACCTGAACCTCCCCCAAGTTCAGACGGCCATGCATGCCAACGTCAGCGGTATCATAGACTACCCATGGGTTTTATGCAGGTGTGTATTAATTTTATTTTACAGTACACTTCTGAGTTCTGCTACTTGACCCATGCATGTTCAAGTGTTCATTCCGCTTCAGTTTTTTTTAACGTAAATTCCGCTTCATTTTTCCCACACTTGTTTATGTACTGAATTCATTGTCACGAGCGAAAGCCACACTGTTATTTGTACATGCAGCGATCCCTTGTATTACAACTGGACAGACACACCCGCTTCCATGCTACCCATCTACAAGGAGCTCATTGGAGCTGGCCTCAAGGTCTGGGTCTTCAGGTAATTAATCAGTAAGCTGCTGCCTACATAAGTGCACCAGGCTAGTCTCGTTTTAAGTCTTCAAAGTTGAGTTTCTTGCCAATTTTTGTATGCAAGAAATCAGAGTACATCATGTTTTTTCATTTGCAGTGGTGACACAGACACTGCAGTGCCGCTGAGTGGGACCAGGCGCTCTCTTGCTGCCCTGGGCCTTCCTGTAAAAACTAGCTGGTACCCCTGGTATATAGTCTCAACCGAGGTGAGTACTGCATGAGGACAGGAGAAAATACATACCAAGCTACATATCACTGAATCCTAATTAGTTTCTTACCGACACCCATACAATTTTATTTTCCTCCGTGGTCAATATACATGCTGTGATGAAATATAGGTTGGTGGCTGGAGCATGGAGTATGAAGGCCTGACTTACGTCACCGTCCGCGGTGCCGGGCACGAGGTTCCACTGCACCGTCCGGAGCAGGCGTTCTTCTTGTTCAAGCAATTCCTGAAGGGCGAACCCATGCCTGCCGAGGCAAGTTTTAATTACTTTCGCCACACATTGATCCCAAACATAACTTGCTCATGGAATTTGTAAAGTATGTAACAACTGATGCCATCAGCTGAGCTGCATATATACGTGCATTGGTATCTGAAGAAGGATGTGATGTTCATTTTGCAGGCAAAAAATGCCAGCCTCATACTCCTTCCTAGTGAGAAGTAAGGCTCCCTCCGACCGAGCAGGGGGGCATGGCAGCACAGGTTGCGGATCGAGGCTCGCGCAGTCATGCTTGATGACAACGATAGATTCCACTACGATCACTGAATAATGCTGCGTTATGTCTGTGCTGTTGATATGTACATGTACATGGAGAATAAATAAAGCTGAAGCACGAAAAGCTATGAATAATGTACAAACCATTGGCTTGGCGATGGCCGATGGATGGATTCTTTCTCCTGCAAGCCATTTATATATTTTTTCGAAATGGTGGCAAGACCATCGCGGCATATATTGTACCCTGTTTTTATGGTAAAACCAGGTCAAAAAACCGAACTACTTGGCTCGATGAGCCCGCACACTCAACTAAGAAAAGCAACTGCACTAAAACAACAGGGAGGGAAGAAATTACCATAACCTCTACCACAAGCAATTGAGGGCCACCACAACTAAGACAAACCATTTACAACTACAAGCATCTGACCATACCCATCACCAACTTATTAGAAAAAACTACTACCCCTGGTTAGAAGCAACCCAGACTGAACTACCAAAAACACTAGACACTACCCGAGTACCGAAGATGTAGGCTGAAAAGTGACACAAATTGAAGGACCTGTCCCATGCCCTCTCTCCCCTACCCACCCTCAAACGTGTTGACACCTTCTTCTTCTTGGAACAGTCATATGTTCAATCAGGGCCATCAAGGCCTCCATCTTTTGTTTGGTTAACAGATGCTCAAAATGTTGTGCAGGATGATCAAACTCATTATATTTTGAAGCATCAGTCGAAGGTGATAAATATCCTAGATTTTTAGCAATCGATTGTTGCACAAGTTGCACTGAGTTCTTCCTCGGATTTTTCTTCGTTTTTTCTGCTAAACTACTACTCTTGCGTTTGCTATCTTGATTGATCTGTAATGAAACCATGGTTGCTACATGTTATGTTGTTCAATTTCGTAGATGAGAATAGGCTTGGTCCCAAGTACCGGGGTTGGCAAGGGAGTAGTAAGACTATCTCCAACAGCCCAAACCTAAATACAAGACCCATTCTAAAAATTAGGTCACGAACAGTCACTGGGTCACCCACCCAAAATTTCATTTCTCCAACAGCGAACCCAAAATTTCCTCTCCAAGAACAAAATATCTACCGCCTGCTCCCCCATTCCCCTCCCTCGAACTCTCCAGAAATCTCTCCCACTCTCCATGACCGGTGGCGGTGCACCCGCGCGTGCCCGCGCACTCTCTCCCTCTCCCAATGTGGCAGCGCACCGGCCGGCCTCTAGCGTGGCGGCGCGCCTGGCTAGGCCTCGGCGGCGGCTAGCCCCCTCCTCGCCCCTCTCCTCCTCCGGCCGTGCGTCTCTCTCTCTCTCTCTCTCTCTCTCTCTCTCTCTCTCTCTCTCTCTCTCCCGCCCCCCGCGGTGCTCGCCCGCCGGCGCTCCGGTGCGGCCAGGCGTCGGCGGTGTCCGCAGCCGCGACCGGGCCTCCGCGGTGCCCGCCCCCCGGCACAGGCGCGGGAGCCCCTTCCTCGGCCGGCGGCGCTAGGGCTAGCGCGACCCCTGGTGGTGGCCCTGGGCGAGCACCCCCTCCCCTGGCGTGGCGGCGCCCACCACTATGGGCGCAAGATTTTTGCGTCGTCTCTCCTCGACGACGCTTTTTTGCGTTCTTGCTGGCCTTGGACCCAAAATGGGTTCTTTGTACGGGTCTTCTGTTGGAGCGTGATTTTGGATATGCAAAGTACTGTGCGGCACTGATTTTGCGTTTGAGTGTCTCTATTGGAGACAGTCTAATGTAGCTAAAAAAATCGGTCTATGTCAAGGAACTTCATGCTCAAACCAATGGTGGCAGGTGGTGAAGTGGTACTGATCTGATCGTTGCTAGCCTGCAAAGACTGGAGTGTTGTCGTCTCCTCCAATTCCTTCAAATGTCCTCCGGTGGTTATCACCGCTAATCATCCGGCAAGTCAGCAGTGATAGCAATTTGCACCATCGCTCAAACGGCCACTACTTCCGTCTACCCTTCTAACCGGCAGTGAAACTTCTTTTGTCTACCGGTTTGTAAGTGCGTGGTGTAGTGAGCCAAAAACGGGCAGTGAAAATTGTTTTCACCGCCAGGTCGGTGTATGATCCGACAGTGATAACCACTACAATTTTCACTGCTGGATCATATACCGACCCAACGCTGAAAACAATATTCATCGCTGGTTTTCCTCCCCAACCCACAGCGCCCCACTGGCCTTTGAACCGGCGCTGAAACATTATCACCGCCGGTTCTATAGAAACCGACGACGAAAATAGTTCCTATAGTAGTGAGTTATAGTCCAGTCTGGCTATGCTAGCATAGGCATGCTTGTCATACATCCTCTTTATCTGCAACAAAGAGCAACAACATACACAAATCAAAAACCATGAAGTAGTGACATGCCTACACTAAAATATGAAAGACGTAAACGCAAAAAATTAACATCCTAGTTATTAAGTATAGACTTGCCAAGTCTTGCTATCTTATAGCTGAGAAGCATAAATCCTCCACTTACACTTCTTGCTCTTGATCTTGGAACACTTGCAGTATGTTCTATACCTTGTTGTCTCATTGTTCTCATTGTTGGGTCCAACAATTTCAAACTCATTAAGTACTACAAATTTCCTAATATCCCTCTTAATGGTGTCCTCATCCTCAAATGTGACCCCGCAAGCTATCGTGTGGTTTTCTAAGTTTTTTTGCGAGGAGTTTTCTAAGTTATTTACATGTCCAAAAGCCACACATCCTACTTAATCATCAACAGAGTGCTCATCCTGATAACTAGAGTAAGAGTCAGAAGGTTCATATTTTGAGTTTATATGGTCATGAAGCAGCCCATCATTCATCCGAACATATTCTTCATCATCTTCTTCCAATGGTTCATCATCACCCACAACCTTTTTCCTACGTTTTCTCTTCTTTCCTATACCTGCTATTGTTTTCTCAGCAAAGCCACCATCCCCCTAGGGGACACCAATTGAGTCACTATCATCAGCAACACCATCATCCTCTTCCGCACCAATGTTAGTGTCACCAGCGCTGGGAAAGGCAATATCAACATCTAGCACATGGGGAGCAATAGATAGACCTGGCTCATCATCAATAGACACACTTTAACTATAGGCCACTACAATTGTCATATATGCTCACAACCACATGTAGCCTCCTTAGAACCCAGTACATGTCAATAGCCTCCATCAAAATTGTGTTAGAATGATATTGGAGTAAGACATGGTCTCCTTGTTGAAGAATGACAAATGAATGCCTTGATTCCGTCCATGAGACACTTTATCTGCTATATCATTTGTCAAATCTTTCAAATTCGTAGTGTCCCTATCCACCACTAGTTGAAAATCTTCAAAGACATGAGACACGTGCTTACCATCATTGCAAACCTCATGATAAGGTGGGACACACGCCGCATTTCATAAAGCAGAACTAGTGTCCAACCTAAAAGATGGACAAGAACAAGAAGCATGAAATCCTTGGATTCGGTTGAACACGTATTTCTAAGAAGCGTAGGGCAAATCCATCATGAAACCGTTGCAACAAGGACCACCTGTGCACCAAATTAAACAAGAAGAGGAGGAAACGACATACCTTATAGGGACAAATTCGCTCCCTTCAACGGTGAATCTATGCTCGGCCAGATCTTCTCCAGTTTTGCTGGCGAGGCCATCTTCACACATCCATTTATTTGCTGGGTACTGGATGATGCGACAGTCAGCCATTGTGGCAGTGGCGGGCGAGCGAGCGCTTGTGGCGGTGATGGCAGGCAGCCGAGAGGGAGCTTTTGGGGTGGTGGGAGTTGGGGAGTAAGCTTTGCCTAGTAGGGTTCGTTGAATGGACTGACTTAGGTCTGGGTTGGTCAAGTTTCAACTTGATCTAGTTCGACCAACTCAGGTCTAGCTAGGTTGTCATCCCTTGCTTCGGGGCACCAGGTGTTATTTTGAAAAATTTCTATCTCCTCCTGACAGTAAAAATAAATATTTTATTGCATATGGTGTCTAATGGCAAAGAAGCATGATTTTATAATGGTAGTGGACAAATTAACGGGTTGATAGTGTGCATCCACAAATACCACATTTAAGCGGTGTTTGTTACAAATTTTGCCTTTCAAAAAGATGTCTTGGGATTTCCATAACCCCAGGTAGAATCTCACCAGCTTGGATGGAGCAGGGATTTTTTTTAATCAAAATTTTGGAGTCTGTTGCAATTGGAATGGGCCTTCATAATGCCATTATCAGTATCTACAGCGGAATACGACTTTACAAGAGCACTTGGTCCGTGGCCAATGAGCACGTGCTCTAGCTCGCGTTTGCATGCAGCTAGCGTGACTAGCGATCGTGTCAACTGATCGTGATCGAGGATGACAGTGATGCCATAAATAAACCCGAGACATGGTCATGTCGCCACATCGGCCGGAGCCATGCATGCCACATTGCCACGCGATGCGACGCGACGTCGACGACTGAAGGAGAATAAAATCACAGCGCATCCACTGCGAATCTCCGAGCGTACTCGCTATGGAGAAGACAAGATCTTTCGAGGACGACGATACTGACGCGCAACACCATTATTGCAGCCGATAGGTCGAGCTCCGTCCTGCGCGTGGAGAATTGAAGTGGCGACGATGGTGCAGGACGGGAGCAGGACCACGGGTGCACGACTCCACGAGGGCATCACATGTCCATACGACGATGGAGGAAGACAGTGCAAGATGGATCCATGACGACGACAGTGATGCGCACTGCCATTGCTGCCGACTGGTTGATAGATGGAGCATTCAAGCGTCGATAATGGCGCAGAGGATCGGAGGACCACGAGCGCATCATGTACGACGTACGCGCGCGTCCTCGCCCAAAGCGGTGACAGGGTTTTGATTTCTTGTTGGGCCCTTTGCGCATGGCAGCTAAGAGCATATCTAGGATCCTCCTCGGTGAGGACTGAGGAGGCTCTCTTTCAGCTTTGAGAAGGTAGTGCGCT